CAGACTGTTAAATAGAGTCATTCTTTTCCTCGATTCGGGATTAAATTGGTGACTTGGGACACCCTAAATCTCCCAAGTGGCGACTCTGAAATAAATAAATAAATCCCGTTTCGATTGTCCTTTAATTGGAAAAACTCTTTCACCCCTCGCAAGGGCGGAAAAAGGAGGTGTGACATACTCTACACAAGTCTAGTCTCAAGTCGTAATGCAAAATAAAGGAATTAAACGAGCAAAGATAACTCCTATAGTACTATTATAGCATGGCATGAAACTAAGTCTACCCGGACAATAACATGAATTTAGCTATGTACGGACTCTCATCACCTCGTGCGTACGTAGCCCCTGCAAAAAAAAGCACATATCAAATACATCACCTAGGGGCAGTTTCCCCCTCACAGAATTAGACAGGAGACATACCTCGCTCCGAAGTTCCATAAACGGCTCTGATGCCACTCTATCACCTCAAACCGACGCTCGTCGCTCCAAAACTAGTCAAATAGTGTGCAAACTAATAAAAATATACCTCTATACTCATAATAAATCAATTCATAACAATTCCCAACTTCGCTCAACCGTCAATAAAATCAACCCTCGGGCCGACGTGCCCGGATTTCAAAAATTTTTGAAGATAAACTTTACCCATAACACTACAAACTCAAATATATGATTTATTTCTAATTCCATGTCCAATTTCGTGGTCAATATCCAAAATACCAAATTCTAGGTTTTCTACCAAATTCCCAAATTTCTACTAATTTATATGTTTAAATCCATATATAAACCATGTATTTAACTTGCAATAGGTGGGAATCACTTACCTTGTGTTGCTCGATGAAAATCCCCTCAAAATGGCTCCCCAAATTCAGCCAACCCAAGTGAAAAATGAAAGAAGAAGAGCCAAATCTCGTTCTTAAAACAACTCTGCCCAACGACATTTTCGCATCTGCGGTCCCTTGGTTGCTTCTGCGGCTTCAATCTCGCACCTCCGAGAACCCAGGCCAGGTCGTTGGCAGTATTTGCGATTCCCGTTGCGCACATGCGCCCCCGCTTCTACAATTCTCCTCCGCATGTGCGGTTCCGTTTCTGCGCCAAAACGATCGCATCTGTGATCCCAGCACTGCCCAACCAAAATCTGCTCCTTCGCTTGCCTGGCCGCTTCTGCGGCGTCGCATTTGCGGCCTTTTTTCCACAAGTGCGCTTGCACGAGATCCCAGCTGCCTCAACACTTCTCCCAAGTCCAAACTCGATCGGATTCGCACCCGAGGCCCCCGTCCAAATATCTCAAAACACGATACGGACTTAGTCGAAGCCTCAAACCACGTCAAACAACGTCAAAACTACGAATCGATGGCCAAAACCTTTCTTCCAACTTTCCAACATTTAAACTCGAATATACACCCAAGTCCAAGTGAGTCCAAGGCTCGAAACTCCAAACAGACATCGATAGCACCAAAATCCATTTCAAACCAAACTTATGAAATTCTAGAACTTCCAATGCCAACTTTCCATAATAAGCGCTAAAATACTCCCGGACCATCCGAGACTTAACCTGAACATATACCCAAGTCCGAAATCATCATATGAACCAATTGGAACATTCAAATCCCGATTTCGAGTTCGTTTACTCAAAAATCAAACATTGGTCAACTCTTCCAACTTAAAGCTTCCGAAATTAGAATTTTCCTTCCGGATCAACTCCGAACTTCTCGAAATTCAATTCCGACCACACGTACAAGTCATAAAACATGAAGTGAAGCTACTCAAGCCCTCAAACCGCCGAACGACTCACTAGAGCTCACTACGACCGGTCGGGTCGTTACAGGTTTGGCCCAAGTTGTACATATTTTGAAATTTCCTTTGCACTCATTAGCCCACTGTAAATTAGTAACGGTAATTCATTTTTTTTTTGGCTTTCACTCTCTCTTCTTCTCGCATCTTCTACATATGCTTCAAGGGGTCATCCGCCATTACTACTTCTCCCCCTTGTGTCACCTGGTTGCAATATAAGAAAATTGATGTGTAGAAGTCCACCATTCAAAGCCATTCAAAGCTTCGCTTTCGAAAACATGATTTTTTGAGTTTGTTAGTTGTTTGGATTGAGTGTTGTTCCAATTGATTGAAAATATCAAAAGGAGTTCAAAATTTAAATTTGAAGTGATTTGGAATAGATTTGAGCAACATTTGAGTTAAATTTCAGAAAAGACGCAAGTAAGAAGACGAAGTCAAATTTTTGTATATTTATGTATAATCTTGTATAATAGTGTATATGAGTGTATCAAAATATCTTATATAAGCGTCTATAGATGAACTTCTTCCACGATTTTCAGTTGTAATTCTTGTTCAAAACCAATCCAAATCTCCATTAAATGACTTCAAATTTTATATACAACATCCTTATACTATTTCTAACAAGTCTAAATAACACCCACTCCAAATTTCTTACAAAATCAAATTCGAAATTAAAATCCATATATTTAAGCTTGTTAAAAATTTAATTTTCACCACCCAAATGAATTTGGTTTGTTGAACTAATATTTGAATAACAGTTACTGATTCGAAAATTAACTTAAAAGTTGAGCAGTCTTTTTCTAAAAAATTGAATATTAATTTTGAGAACTTATTTGAGGTTTAAGTATATCATGGCAATAATGGATAAATTGAAAACAAAAAAGAGGTTTTGGATCCTAAGTTTGTTTCTGATTGACGAATCAATCTTCTCATCTCCATTAAACCCTTTTCATTTGAAAATCTAGCTTAGCTTAATTCTGCTTATAAACATTAAACTGTGGATAGAGTATAATACAGTATATATGTGTGTGTGTTAAAATTGTATGCTGTACTTTACTCACTAATTTCAAATTTTAGCTTTGCCTCTAAAGTCTCTCACTCAGTTCCAGGCCCAGCTACCAAGTACAGTACTTGAAGTTCTGAGTGACTCCAGTTACCAAAATTCACCAGAAAGAATATATCTGTCTCTTAACATCAAAAGCGAATTTAGGCAAGTTAGAAGAGCTGGAAGAAGTAGAATCAAGACTCGTTTCACTTGTTTCAAAATGCCCCAATCTGAAAGTCCTCCATCAAATCCATGCCCATATAATCACTACTCATTCATTTCTTCCACTTCCCACTATCTCCTTTATTCTTTCCAAAGTTCTCGCCTTTGCAGCCCTTTCTCCCAATGGGAGCCTCAATTATGCCAAGAGGTTGTTCACCCAAATCCCAAACCCTAGCATTTTCTCTTATAATTCTCTCATTAGAGGTTTTCTTGAATCCCAAAAAATTCCATCTCAAGAACCCATTTTTATTTTCAAGAAACTGCTCAAGAAAAATTACCCAAAAGCAAATACATTTACTTTAGCATTTGTTTTAAAGTCATGTTCAATTGTGACTGCATTTAAAGAAGGCCAACAACTGCATAAGCATGTAATTCAATCCGGGTTTGGATCAAGCCCCTTTGTTCAAACCTCATTGTTGAATTTATACGCAAAATGTGAGGAGATTCGGTTGGCGGAGAAAGTGTTCGATGAAATTCCTGAGAGAAATGTGGTTGCTTGGAGTGCAATGATTAGTGGGTATTCGAGACTTGGGATGGTGAATGAGTCTTTAAGTTTGTTTAGGGAAATGCAGAAGACAGGTGTTTTGCCCGATAAGGTGACAATGGTGAGCGTGATTTCGGCTTGTGCTATGTCTGGGGCCTTAGATTTGGGGAGGTGGGTGCATGCTTATATTGACAGGAGATTGATTGAGATTGATCTTGAGCTTTGTACTGCGCTTGTTAATATGTATGCAAAGTGTGGATGCATTGAGAAGGCAATCGAGGTATTTGAAGCGATGCCTGTTAAAGATGCCAAGGCATGGAGCTCAATGATAGTTGGCTTGGCAATAAATGGGCTAGCAGAATATGCATTGGTGACCTTTTCCAGGATGGACAAAGCTAAGGTAATGCAATGATTATGAACAATGCTGTAAGATGCAATATTTCTAACAAAATCATATATAAAATGTCATCTTGATTCACATAAAACATTAAAGGAGTGCACGAATTTGTACTTATTAGGCTCGGCGTTGAATCTTTGCATAAAAGTTAGATGGATTGAGTTGTGCTGTTTTTTCTATAATCTATCATTGAATGTTAAACTTTGATGAATAGACTGTTAGCAGCTAACTTATAACCTACTTTTGAATTTTTACTCAGGTGGAACCTAACCATGTGACGCTAGTTGGAGTTCTTATGGCATGTGCTCATAGCGGACTAGTTTTTGAAGGGAAAAGGTATTGGGCAAGCATGATTGAGTCTGGTATTGAGCCATCTTTAGAGCATTATGGCTGCATGGTAGATCTGTTGAGCCGTTCAAACTTAATTGATGAAGCTTATTCATTTGTTGAAGCCATGCCACTCGCCCCGTGTCCAGCAATATTGCGCACATTACTTGTTGGGTGCAAAAAGAACAAGATCTTGGACAAAGGTGAAATTCTTGGCCAGCATCTCATTGAATTAGAGCCATGGAATGCAGAGAACTATATCCTACTGTCTAGTTTGTATGCATCGGTATCAGACTGGGAAAAAATGCGCCACGTGAGGAAACAGATGAAAGACAAAGGGATTAAGGCAATGCCAGGATGCAGTTCCATTGAAGTTGACGGTCTTGTGCATGAGTTCATAATGGGTGATTGGTCGCACCCTGAAGCTGAGGAGATCAAAGAAGTCCTAAGCGATATATCTCAAAGGGTATATTTTGCAGGTCATGAACCTTGGATTGCTACTATACTGCACAATGTGAGTGATGAAGAGAAGGAAATTGCTCTGTGTGAGCACAGTGAAAGATTGGCTATTGCTTTTGGCCTTTTGAAGACAAAAGCACCAACAGTGATTAGAATAGTGAAGAATCTAAGGGTATGTAGGGATTGTCATGAAGTGACAAAGATAATTAGTAGATTATACAACAGAGAGATCATTGTTAGGGACAGAGTTAGGTTCCACAGGTTTGTCAATGGAGTATGTTCTTGCAGAGATTTTTGGTAAATATTCTTCTATTGGCAATATATTTCAGCTCCTTTTTTTTCCTTTAGGTTTTGGAGATGGGAGGGGGTCTGAGAGTTTGTGATGAGAGAGTAAAGCCAGAAGAAGCTTGAATGACCTAATCAGGGCTAAATTCATTACATTGGAACTGGATAGATAAAAGCTAGATGGAAGAGGGCAAAATGTGGGAGCGATATTAAATTCTTTAATCCGGAGAGCTTAGTTACAGAGGAGATTTTCAGCCTCATGATTTTCCCATTATCATTATTCTCCCGTGAAAAGACTCACACTAATCCTTGTCTCATTTTTAACCCAATACAATGCTTTCATCAATTTAGATCATATATGCATGAAGTGTTCCTATATATTCCTATACAATTGTTCTCTGACCAAGACACCATCACTTAGACTTGGATTTGACATGCCATCTGCATATCTCCTCTTTTGGGACTGATATAATCATAGTGAGCAATCCAGGTTCATTGCTGTTGTTAAAGTTAAAGTCAATGTCTGCATCATCAACTAAGCATTTCAGTGGGCGCTGGAAAGAGTAAACACCAAAATGACCACATCCCCTGACATTAAGTGAGATTGTTGCAGCTGAAGGCCAGCTGAAGACGGATTTTCGCTTAGAGAAGTGGCCACTTCTGAGGTACATCACTATCAACGTCTTCTGGTTCTGATGGACTTCATTTATCAACTGCACCACCACTGTTGAACATTTCTATTAAACCAATTGGAGCAACCAAAAAAAAAATGTTTGTTGCAATTTCATACAACCAAGGAATTATTTGCTCTCTTTAAAATGGTGGTAAGCTCAATCTTTAAAAAGGCTCACCACTTTCCCTGCAGTTGAAATAAGCGAGTGAAATTTCAAAGTTCAAAAGGTATGATGCTCTTAAATTGTCTTAAGTATCACACATCCTTTGAAAGACCTCACTCTCTGATTGAAATTCAGATGATCAGATACTGATACAAGTTCATTCTTGATCCAACTCCTTAGGAAAGAACTTAATAAGCAATAAATTTACCTGATCTAAAGCAATATATTACTGTATCTTTACTATCCGATATTTACATCAAATCAAGCAATTTAATCTTTGCAGTTAATAATAAAAGTGAGAATGCTTTGCTTAACCATGAGAATGCATATAGCTTAAGCATGGTTAAATTATAAATGTGTGCATAAAGGACACATATCGTGTATTCATTGGTATGACGTAAATATGAGGTGTAGGTTAATTTTTACCGTACTTCTATCTCCATTAAAGTAAATTGCATCCTTCATTTAAAATCTGTTGTTTGTTTCTTCTCTTTTTTCACATAGAACTGCTTTATGTATTGATTTGGGCTAGTTAAGTTACTCAAATTGAATGGAAATGACACCAAGTAGCTATTTTTAAGCATGTTGCTAAAATATAATCACAGTTTACAATGTATTTAAAAATTAGCCAATTTCGCTTAAATTTCAGGCCACGATGTCCTAGAGTTTAAACCTCAAAATTCAAATTTCAGGACATCGTGCCCTAGAGTTCGAAAATTGTATCCAGAAGTTCGAATCTTATGTCCTGAACTTTAAACTAGTAGTTCAGAAATTCAGGACATTTCAAATTAGCAGCTCAAAAATTCAGGACACTAAGTGAATTCAGGATACTTAGAGCCCCCGTTTGGATTGGCCTAAAAAAAGTGGGTTTTAAGTGTTGGAGCTTGTTTTATAAATAAGCAGTTACCTATTTGGATAAAAGTGTTGAAGCTTAAAAAAAGTTGTTGAAGTGTTTGGTAAACAAGTACTGGTAAGCACCTTTTTCTGTTAAAAAGACAAAAATATCCTTAAAGTTGTTAATATTATAAAGGAGATTACTATAATATATTTAATTCTGAACTAATGCATATAAAAAATAATTTATATTTTAATTTAATTGATTACTTTAGATAATTTTTCTTGCGGAATATATTCATAGTGAAACTATAAATTCCACTCTCTGCTAGAATATTAGGAATTTGTTCCAACGTGTCAATACACTTCTCGATGGATGCCTCATCAACTGCAGGAGTGTAGCAGTGATTTTGCTAGACATTAACTCTATGAAAGATTGTATATCCTCTTTTATTAATGTTGCAGCTGCTTTTTTCTTACTCTTTCTTACTTGACTGCTAGTGCTAACACCATTAGTTGATTTTTGTCTTTTTAGTGATGGCTCTCGAAACGTAACAGAATTTATATTCTGTAGATCATCACTTACATCGCTCATTTCATCATATTCTTTGTCACAACCATCAATATCATTTAGATTTAGTCCAATGCCGGACAATTGTTCTTGATTTGTTGCACGTGCTCTTTCTCTTATGGCAACAACATCAGCAAACAGTGTGTCGTAGCGAAACCACATGAGTGAAAGATCTTTGTTCCTAAATTTTTTATATCGAGCATTCTCCTGTAAATAAATTCAAAACCACTATAAGCTAAAAAAGAAATTTAGCGATGAAAAAAAAGAACGACACATATAGCAATATGAGAGATGTACCTTAATTTTTCGCTCCCACTAATCATCATCGGCTATAATTGTATTTTTGTGGCATCCCATCCTAAACCTGTCTCTCCTCTCATCAACTGCTTAAAAGTGTCCATTCGGATTTCATGTAATCCCAATGGTTTTTGAATTGTTTTTTTATTATACACTCCCGTCTTCTTTTCGAACTCATCAATTATATTTTTCCACCCATCTTTAGATAAGTAAGTGTTTGGTCTATTTTCCTTTCTAATCTATTGCTCACACAACTCAATAAATGTAATAGGAACCTCATTGTCCCACTTAGCATTACTTTCCGCCATGATTGAATGTAAATAATCTGAAGAAAGGAAAAATAAATATCTAATTAAAGTAGAAGAAACTTCCTCATTAGTTGGAGTGACTAATGAAATATCCAATATATCGTAGGCTCTATTTAAAGTGCATTTCATTCTAATACTACTAATTTTCTCATTAGGGCAATTTTTAGGATAAATTTCATTTTAGTAGCTCTTAGACTGATTTAAGTGGAAACATGGTTCCATCAACTTGAGAACCATTTAATTCAAAAAATTCCTTGTAATTCCTGATTCTTCAACATTAAGATTTCCATATTTCACAATCTAGAAGAAAATAATGGCCAAGAAATGAGGGTACTATTATCACTATAACTAAAATCACTAAACACAAGGCTTAGAAATGAAGACTTGAAGGAATAATTCAATAGTAAAATAGAAAGGAAATTGAAAGAAGACACAAGAAACAAACCAAAGTCAGAAACAACTATGTTACAAGACAAGAATGACGTCGTAATGTCAATAAATTATCACGATTATAATAAGGATTGAGAAGAACTTACAACGAGGATTGATTTTCACTGAAATGCTTGAGGAAAAGTGCAGAAAAATGAAGATGAAGCAGAAAGGAAGAGGAAAGAAGAGGAGGGGCTGTCTTCGGGAGTGAAGGAAATAGGAGAAGTACGATGTTTTAGGGTTTCTTCGACTGAGGGTAATTTTAGTACATGAAAGCAATTTTATTGGTCATACTAAAAAGTATTTTAAGCCAAAATTGGAGAAGTTGGGGTTAGTCAACTTGTTGTTTTTGGCTTTTTAAAGCATTTTTTAATTTTTTTTAAGCAACTTTTTTTTTTCAAACACTCCAAACACCCTCTTAGTCATGAAATTAGATAAATTGACTAATCTTTAAATATATTTTAAATAACGAAATTAAAAGTAGTTATTGTTGCACTTCGCCCTCGAATTGATCCAACATTTGACAACTTATGGTTTAGTTACAACCCTTAAATGAACACATTACTCACACATTTAATGAATCGAAATTGACACTCATAGTATGTATCTTTTCCTTATCATCTACGTTTGGAAATTTTTGGACGTATTGCACGTTTAACGAGTCAAAATTGACACCCACAGGTGAACAATGTATCTAGGGGTACAAAGAAAACCGACAAATTGCACCAACTCGATAATTTGAATCAAATCGAGAAAAAAAATTTGACTATGGTTTTGTTTGATTTGGTTTGGTGTTGGAAAAAAAACCCGACCATAATTAGTTTGATTTGGTTTAACTAAAGAAAGTCAAACCGAAACCAAACCAACTCGACATTACATATATAGAAATTTTAGATATATTTAATATACAAATATACTTATTGTGATGTAATTTATAAATATTTCTTAAACATTTTCATAATTTTATCTTTTAAGGTATTATTTCAAGGTTGGACTTACAACGTTTGCATGTTCCAAACTTTTAATAAGTTTTATAGCCATTATATGATTGAAATTTTTACATTCCTATACACTATATGAAACTATATTACCCTTCCTACTCAAGTTTTACTATAATTACATTTTATATACCCAATTACCATTTATGTACATTTTAAGGAAATTAATGATAATAATTAGTGTCCTAAAATTTAACGTATCTTCCACTCCCCCACGTTTCTCTCTCCACATACTACCCCTCTCCCCCACGTATCTTGCACTCACCCACGATTCCATCATTAACAACCATTAAAAAGCTTTGAATTCGAATTTGGGTTTTCAAAAAATATTATTTGTTTGAATTGGGTGTTGTTGCAAAGAATTGGGAATTCTCTCTATCTCTCAATCCCTAAGTTCAGTAATGTAAAGCAAAGGAAAAGAGAGCAGCAATTCCATCATTGACAGCCATTAAAAAGCTTTAAAGCTTTGGATTCGAATTTGGATTTTCAAAAACCATTATTTGTTTGGATTGGGTGTTATTATTGCAAACAATTGGGAATATGGTTTGGAGTTTATATCTCAATTTTGAGGGGTTTTGGTGAAGATTAGAGGTGGTTTTGGCTGAATTTCAGATTGAAATTCGAAGAAGAAGACATGATATACATTATATTCACGAAATTATAGTAAAATTGTAAAAATATTATATTCTGTTGTTTATATATATTTTTTTATTTAACTATTATATGAAAGTTGAACAACATTGTATAAAAATTATATTTAAGTTGTATCATATTGTAGTTGTATATAACTGGGTAGAAATAATATGTGAAAGTTGTGGATAAATTGTACATAAGTTGTATAATATATAATTAGTTGTATGAAATTTGTTTTTACTATATATATAAATCGGATACAAAATGTACAAAAGACATATTGTATAAAATTTGTATGAAAATTATTTTTTAAGTGGTATGATATTGTAGTTGTATATAACTTGATATAAATAATATATGAAAGTTGTAGATAAGTTTCGCTGCCGCATTATCTAAGTAGAACTTTTCTCAGCTCTTCACGAAAAAAGAAATAATATAAATAAAGTAGTACATGTTATTACTAGGATCTTGTAGTCATAACATTAAGTAATTTTTTTTTTAATTTCATCCAATTTTTTTCTTTTTCGGTTCATATAGAGAATTTGATTACTGTCTTTTTACAAATTATAATAAGTGAAACAATAGATACAACTATACAGCTTAGCTGTGCGCTCCAGTAGAACCTAATTCAAGCTCAAACAATTATGAATTGCCTTATTCCAAGTCACAGTATTGAGATGCTACAGATGGGAATTTAAAAATAGCTTGCTGTAATTTTTTTTTTCTTTGTCCCTTTGACCTTCAACATTAAACAGAATCTGGTCAAACTATGCAAATTTTCCAACAAGGTCTGTCCATCAATGCAGAAAGTCCAGCTTTATCTCAGCAAGGAAGCAACTTTAGCCATGGAGTGAGGTTCTCTGTGCAAACAGCCTCACGGGGCAATGTGGAGAGGAGGGGAGAGAGGAAGGGAGAGAGGAGAGAAAGAAGGAAATGGTGTAACTAAATCCCTTGATTGAAGCCACAAATAATGAATTGAGAGCCTTTTAAGGTGG